ATGGAACATATGAACAACCATCTCAAATAATTGCAGTATCATCATTAACTGGTACTTGTCCATTTCCTCAAACAACTATTTATGGTAAATTATCATTATATTAATATTTAGATTCATGAAAAGGATTTTTTTTTATTTAAATAAGGTACATCAAAACATGCTATTCAAGGTTTCTTTTTGAATCTTGCTCGTGAACTTCGCATCTCTAAACCATATCAAAATCGTGTTACAACAACTGTAGCTATTCTTGGATTAATTGCGACTGAATCTGCACTTAGTGCAACTGACACAGGTCTTCATCTTCTAGCGGCTGATGTTCGTAAAACTGTTCAAGCAATTATAGCTGCTGGTGTTTATGGACAAACTCGTTTATTTTATCCATATTATCTTGCAATTATTCCACCCCTTTATTATATATTCTCTCCTTTATTTGAACTTCTGGCTCGTTTAGGCAATTAGTTGCCACAATTTGTCAAAAAAATATAAAAGAATAAAATAAAAATTCATTCGAAAGGCACACGAATAATGTTTTGCTTTATCTAATGCAATGGTTTTTAGAACGAACAATCATATTTGCTTGCTTGATGATATCTGTATGAGCATAATCAACAACACTGTCAAGTCCTGTTTTCAACGAAAATACGTTTAGGTTTATAAAGAATTTTTTTTGGAGAAAATTTCATACAATTAAGTTAAACTAATTATAAATTCGTGAAGATTTTTATTCAAATTAAGCTTACAATTTATGTAGCATTATGCTAAAAACTATCTTCGATAACTTCATCTGTAGAAAAATCCCCAATAAAAAAAACATTCAATAAAAGACAAAATCTTGTTTTGTTATATGTATTCAAACTTGTAATATAGAATATGTTCTTCACGAAACCTGTTAAAATAACTTTATGTCCAGCAAGAGTATGTAAAGTATCCCCATATAAATATGAACTAGAGCAGTGTTTTTGTCATACTCATTTATTCCAATAATGAGTAGTTTCATCTCAACCACCTATTAGAAAATCAATGTAATTAGCTGGATGTAAAGGAATAGCTGATTGTGTGCGATTTTTATCATTCTCATGTGATCAAAATCGCACACAATCAGCTATTTTATCACGATTTATTAGGCCAATTAATGGGGAGATCATAGTGCGTTTTTTCAATAATAGTTTTGGTGATCCGACCTAGTCGTAGTATTTGGATCCACGGCTATGAATATGCCTCGATATGTATAACATCATTGGTTATCATCGTGCTCAGATATATTTTTCATTAGTGAGAAGAAAGATGAAATCTCTCTATCTATCTGCTGTAAACGATGCAAAAACATTTCTTTTCAAGTATAATAATACATACTGTTAATTTTGTTATTGAGACCAATCATAATAAAAGAAAAGAAGTTTCTTTTATAAAACAATACTTACTATTCATTCAGAAGATCCGATGGCGTAAATAGAAGGAAAACCAGTATTCATTTTTATATAATACTACTTACCGTAGAAGTTTGTTGAAAATTGGTGTTGGTGTGTGTACATTCTGTAGGTTTTGGGTGTAGGGTGATGGCGTGGTAAGATGGGTTGCGGTGCTGTAGCTGTAAGCACCGATCTTCTCTTGATTCTCATTGATGTCCGCACCCCACTTTCAATTCGAATAGATGAAATTTGAAAGCTATTAAGAAGTCTGATTCCTGTTGTTTTTATTATGAATGTCTCTCGCAATGTTCCATTGATATTTACTCAAGCTATTTGATTATGTCTGAGATACTAACTATAGGATTTTGTAGAGAAGATTTCCGTTTACAAAATCTACTATATCATATTTCTCTACAATACAGCCATTTTGAGTTCTGATAATTGACATTTTATGCACGTTTCATGGTCTCTGACCAGTGAGTCACATATTGAATAGTCATGCATTTCAGTAAGGTGATATGCGGTGCCATTTTAGCTACAGGTAGATAGAAGATCCCCATCCACTTCAGGTCAACTCTCACATCCTCCACTTGGATTTAAATTTAGCTTTTCATGTTAAATATTATTCAAGGGAAAAGGATACGTTCATCGAAATTAATTTTTATAATAACAAGCTCTTGAATACAAAAGAAAGGTTTTCATACGTTTTCATTATATTTATTTAAGTAATTTAGTTTTTAACTTTATTAAAATTACATACATATCAAATAAATAATCTTCTTACCATTACCGTTCAATAGAAGATGATTAAAAACAAGATTGTGTTGCAATCAATATTGAGATTTGTTCGTTGGTCTTAAATGAGGACTCATTAATGCCATATCACAAGTTCTTGCACGAGAGCGCCATAGAGTCTCCATGGGAACGGTTTTCAAATTACAATAATATTTCATCCACAAACTTGGGCAGTTATTTGCACAGGCAGTAATGTCTCCTATAAAAGAATCGGGTAATAATATTTGTTTGAAAAATATGTTTATAACATTTCAAGAAACTAAACTGTCGATTCTTCTTGATTTGATAAAATCTTCGTTACAAGTATATTCATTTAAATTTAAAAGTGAAAATACTTGACGTATGAAATAATCCTCTTTAGTCGCCATCGCCAACTAATAATTCTTGAATTACCGAAAATATTTGTTAGTGATTCAATATTGCGATAATCTTTTAGTATTTCAGAAACATGTTCTAATAACTATATACACACAATTATCCTAAAGTTCATGGAGAACAAGGTGCGAGAAATGTATTAGAAATATTGAAAAAAGAATTCTGATTGGCTATGATGTTATGCGGATGTCAAACTATTGAAGATATTAGAAAAAATAATCTTTTAGTGCCGAATAAATATAATAATAGGTCAAAATTATAACATGGCAAAACTATTATTACGACGAATCGTATAATTAACATCATCACTATGTAATTATTTATGTATTGAGTACAATATCAGTGTGATTGTTTATTTGATTAATGTTATAGGATTATAATAAAATTAGCTATAAAGACTCATTTAGTTTACTTTGCACAATAACTAAACAATAGACTGCGGTGGATCCACTTTGATTATCGTGTAAAATGTTAAATTGAGACTAGCGTTCTTCTCGACACTGCTCCCAATATCTTTTAAAAGAGCTCAACTATGGACATGAAGCTACAATATAACCCCCAACCACACTCGCAGCTTCTTGACACTGCTGCTAAAACTGAATCTTCTATTATGAATTCGTTTTCTAAAACTGAAAAGATATCTTCTTATGATTCTTTTTTGAATCACAAATAAATAAACCATCTGATAGGACTTTCAAGCAAGTTCAAACTCGATTATGGCAGCCTTTTCACTGCCACTAAAAAGCCACACTTTTATTTACAATTAACCCCCCCCCCCCCCCCCCCCCCCACCCCCCCCCCCCCCCAACCCCCCCCACCAAAAACCCCCCTCAACGTACCATCGAGAGAAACCTCGA